ACATTTTCCAGCAGTAAGTATCAATAATATCCTCTTACCTCCATTAGCAACCAAGTATCACCCTCGATCAATGTCCAGCACATTGAACACGCCAGGAAAAAAGCGCGGGAAGGAAGAAAGAGATTAAGCACGTCGAAAAATTCGGAACAATTGCGTGTTCGGCACCGTCTCGAGCGCGTCGGAGTGAAAAAGGAAGCGAAGAAGTGGCCGGTGACCGAAGGCGACCAAGCACTGCTGCTCTTTTTGCCGTCGCAACTAACCTCCCCCCTTTCTTTCCCATTTTTCCCTCCCTAGCCCCATATTCTTCAGCCGTTCACGCTCCTTTCACTTTTTCCACCGACTCCCTTTTCTCGCGGCCGCTCTCCTCTCCTTTACACCTTAATTCCCGCTCGTGGTCTCCTCGAGCGACCATTCTTCCGGGGTGGCGCTTAATTAACGCCGTCCTTTCACCGAGATTCCCGAGACTCCCTGTCTTTCATCCCCTTTCCCCGCGCTTTCATTCCGACCCAGGGTTTCTTCGAATTTTTCTTCGAGACTCTCCGAGGTATTCCGTGGGAATTAATTTAATATGTAGCTACCGACAATTTTCAATGGAAACCGATTGAGATGAATTCTAGACGGTTTTCATTGGTATTTCCGAGATTGCTTTTAGAAAAGTTTTCATACTTTTCAGTTAATTTAGTGATAATTTGGGTAGGGCTCATGAGATATTTGTAGACGAAATGTTATGAATAGATTGAAGACCCGATGCACTTTTGAGAAACTTAAATATATGTAACATAGAACACGAAGCTTTAGAAGTACTTAAAAATATTGTTATTTTACTTTTAACTTAAAGTTCTTTATATTAAGAAATTAATTGAAGAGAAAGTAATTTCTACTTAACTTACATTTCCTGGAACTGTTTTGAGGACTTTTGTTCCTCAATCTTTAGCTAATCTTCTTTTGTTTCTTTCAACAATAACTGCTCTTTAAAATAATTAACAATAAGCTTGCAATGAACTTGAACGGCAGTAGTTCTAATACGCAAAATGATTTATTCCTGCACAAACAAATCGAATTTGACATGCAGAATCAAATCCGTTAAGAGTCGAGTGACTGTACTAGTTCACGAAATACTTAGATTAATGTGTAGTGTGCGAATATAGTCAGTAGCTGTATCGAAAGGGGTAAATTAACCAAGAAAACGGAAACACGGAGAGACCAGAGTCGCGAGACCGTTCGCGATCGCGTTCCCGAAAACGTATTTCTCGCGACGCGCCGTCGAACGCTTTTGTTCCCCGGAACGCCGGCGACGGGGAACGTTCCCTCGTTTTTCTCGGATGAAAAAGCTTAAAGAAGGACCATTCAGACCGAAGAAGAGCCGTTTCCGAAAGTTCGTAAAATGTTAAAGGGTCCTCCGCCCGGCCGTTTCATCCCCCGACCGAATCGGTTCCGCCTTTGAGCGGACAATAGGGGAACCACGATTCCGTTTCCCCCACTCCCGTTCCCTTTTTTTTGTTTTCCGTTTCCCCGTTTGTTTCTACCGTCCCTATTTGCTGGGGTAAAATATTTTGTAGCCGATATTGCGCTTTTATCTATTGATGTCGTCTGTAAGAGACGAGTCAAGTAAAAAATGAGGATTCGATCATTGAAGCACGATAATTGAACGATTGATTCAATTTCTTTCGTCTTTTCTCTTTTGAGAAAAAGGTAAAAATGTTTTAAGATATTAAAAATACCTTTCTTTGATGTTTGACTTTGTAAGGGTTGAAAGGTGGAAATGGTCAGAGAGGTTGCAAATTCTAATACTATTGTTTAATAGAATTAATTTTTTCTGAAGAGATGGAGATAAATATATTTTAAGCTGGCGTTCTCGATGAGGAATGAGAGGTAAAAGTATAGACCGAGTTGGAAATTGAAATATGATAATTTATCGATTGAGTCGGTTTCTTTGGAGAAAAGGATAAAAATGTTTTGTTACTAGTCTTTGACGGTTGATAGGGGATGAAATATGCAAACGTGGATGCGCAAGGGGATGAAAAATTGAAATGCGATAACTTATCGAACTCACGGAACGCTTCTCCAGAAATTCAGATAAAAATATTTTGTTTAATGATCAAAGAGCGATGCTCCATTAATAACACAATCCTGAAAGGGATGGTGAATATTTCTGAAAGTCCAATATTTAAATTCATCCTTTAAAAAGTGAAAAAACTCCTCTTTGAACATTCACCCTGATTCTTCTCTTTAATTTAACTTCATCTTTCCGTCCTTTTCTTCATTTAACTATGCTCCAGATAATCTCGAAGTTGTCAAAAATCCAGAAAAATCAAGAGCCAAACCCCTTCAATCTCTCTTCATCCTTTTCAATCATATTTCCATGATCAACCTTTTAAAAAAATACTCTTTTGTCAAGAATTGTTCAGGAAGCTTTCAAAACTTCGCTGAAAAATCAATCTGGATCGCTTCTGCCCTCTATCTCTGGGCTGATCAACGTTTATAATTTGTTTCCCGTGGCTCACCCTTTAGCAAAGAGCATCCCCGTGCTTCCTCGCGCTCGACCGATCGCTTTCGAACTTTCGAGTGGCCGTGAAACGGGAACAAAGGGCGCCGAAAGGGGTGAGTCGGTTCGAGTGGAACGCGACTCGAAGGGAAGTTTGCGATTCGACCCGCGTGACGGAATAAATCGTCGATCCCGAGCAGGTGTAAGTCGACTCCCCGAAACTTCGTGTCCCGGGAAAAGTTTCGCCGCCAGGACGGACGCAGCACCGCATCGACGGACAGGAGGAACGAGCTTTTCCGGGGAAGGTAAATCGATTAAAGAATTTTCCTTGGATCTCCCAGCGAGCAGTCGAGAAGCGAAAAAAGACGATTCAAGAGGACCGTAAAACTAATTCATGAAGATACTCCGTCAAGAGTTTGACCGTTATCTGCGAACTGGTCTCATAATCCTAGAACGGTTCGAGTTTTTGCTATATTACGCTGTTATACTCAAGGAGAACAAATTTTAACTATATACATCATGGTACGATAATATCGACGTATTTTTGCAATTATTACGGTGGTCCAGGGAAGTTTTTGTACCTATGTAAAGCTAATATAAATGTGAATTTAAAAAATACAACGAAATTTGAAATTGAATTGTTCAGAAGTAATTTCTGTATTCGACTAAAAATGTTTCTAAATATTCCTGGTTATTTCTTAGAAAAATATAAAAATTTTAATATCCGTTTAAAATAATATCAAGTGTAATATTCATAAATGATAGTATGAAATATTTTTTATTGAAAACATATATAAATTTCGATATTAGACGAACTTCATTAAAGATAGTCACGCGTTCTTTCATTCTGTGTATCGGCTAACATTGTCGCGACATCGTTGTGCTCGGTTCCGTGAGACAGTAAATGAAGAGGACGTCCTAATCGGCGAGACTCGAGTCGCGAGAGAATCGAAAAGTTTGCAAAACCGGGCGGCTCGAAAAGAGACGGACAGCAGGCTGCATCGGAAACTTTGAATGCTAATGCAATCACGGAAGTTTTATCGAACTTCGGCGTTGAATACAACGCTCGTGAAACCGGATACCCGACAGGAAAAAATAAACTGGAGAAGGAAAAGGAAAAGAATCTCTACAGTGCGCGAGGCTGCCTTTAAATTTACGGCGAGCCTTGATAATTCGATCGGATAGGATTCACGGAGGAATCTTGAATTCCAGAGTCCGTGATAATTCTTCGATTTTCATTCCGAGTTTGCTTATTATCAATATTGAACGGTAATAGAGAGTACCGTTCGTAAAATAGATGTGATTTTTAAAAATTTTGTTCAGAAACCCTTTATTTTCTGTTAACGACAGTTAAGTTCGTAGAAACCTACTTTCAGCGATGAAATGAATAGAAGTCTACTCGAGAGTAGACAATAAGATTATAGAAACTTACTCTCAACAATAAAACTCACGGACACCTTTTTTCCAGCGATAAAATTGATAAAATTCTACTCCTAAGGGGATACGTAACATTACCTTTTTATTTTTTTTCCATTCTATTTTCATTCTACTACAAAATTCATAAAAATCCACCCTCAATAATGGAATTGGCAGAAATTCTCTCTCGAGCGAAACATTACAGCTAGTTTCACCGATGCGATCGGTCACTCTCAGCGAAACAATTCTACCCGAGACCAATTTCGAATCCTAATCACCGTTCTTTCTCTTGATTTCCACCCAGCGGCGTTTGTCGCGGTGAGACTCATCGATAAATCTATAATCACCGATACTTTATTCCGGCAGCGGGTCCGGCAGCCCTCGAGCACAGGAAATACGATGGTTCGAATCAATCCAGGGAAATTCTTTTTTCCTCTCCCAGCCTGATGATTAATTGATAGCCATCTATCTTCATTTGATCCTCGTTAGTGTCGCTTTTCCGACGGGCGGCGGAAACGGTTGAAAAAAAGGAAAGCACGGGAAACGTGAGTCGATCGGGTATCTAACCGATTAATCGATGGAACGAATCGCTTTGATGCTGCGAACCCTTTTTTGGAACTTACTCTCTTTAATTCTACAAACACTTCTCCGAAGTTTTCATTACATTCTTATTTCCACTTTTATGGACGCCTTTTATTACACTCCCACTTTAATCTTGTACGCGAAACTTTTGTAATTTGTTACATAAATATCTTTTCTACCTAAGAACTAATACAACAAACATTCTTTTTTAGTTTTTTAACTCTATGATACAAATCATTTTTCTAATGTTCGATTTTAACTATGTTATAAACTATGTTATATCACAACTTTCCTTGTAACAATTTTCTTATGCATTTCTCAATTATTCATAAACATCTTTCACAACATAATAACGCGGCTATATCAAACAGCTTTAAACAAATAGTTCTAATAGCTAAAAAATGGGGATGTGACTAGATAAAGAAAAATCCAAAGAACTCGGAAACTTTATGAACTTTCGTTTCATATTTCAACCACGAAATATTTAAACGTTTCCGTTGGTCGTTTGTGATTACAGAATTCTCGCCAACCAGAAGAATGAAGACGCGAGGAATGTGGACGATAGCGATCGCGATTTTATCGGTGATAGCATTCCCGGGCAGCGACGCTGAACTCTACACCGCACTGGCGGATATGGAGGAATTGCTGGAAACGGAGGCGGTCCTCATAGACACACTGAACGGATACATTAAAGCGCAGGAAGAGCGTCTGGCTACTCTCAGAAAGTGAGTCTTACCATTCTGATTGCTGTTCTATTTCTGCGGAGACATTTACGTTGCGGCCGCACGCGATCTCGCTGCATACTAAATTCGCCGATTATCGGCATTCCAAAATTATGGACTTAAACGTTTACCAGATGTAAAGTCCGATATTCCCGCAAATCAAATTTTTATCTCGCCAGCCTCGGGACTGTTACACGCCTGGATTAATCGGCGCTGCTATCTTGAATCATTTAAACACTCAGATTTTCAGTCGTTTCAATCCTCAACGCGATTTTCCACGTCTCAAACTGTAGAAAATTCTCCTAAAAGAATTTTAAACATGCTTCTTTTTAAGAATCAAGGGAAAACATGAAATACCCCGTCATCAGTGACTATTCAAGCAAAAATATAACAAAGATCACATTAGAAATTACCATTTAAAATTAATAAAATACTTAATCTCAAACATCTCGCGCCACATCACAGTATAAAATCACAAAACAAGCACTAAAAACTGAACTCGAATCTGTCACGAATAAGACATTTCTTGTTACCTCAAAGTACCCTTATTTACTCAACTCCAAAACCAATTTAACAGCCTGTAGACACCCGGTATAACCATCGAGCAACCTCCCGTTCAATAAAAACTGACATAAAATCCGCGTTAGCCGGCGTTCCTGCTGCAAGGAAAAACTCGAGGTGCATTAAATGCATTTCCAGGGGCTCCTGAAACTAAATCTAGACGACCGTGGTCAAAAGGATCCGGCCAGGTCGTATATACGTATATACAACGGAAACGCCGGGAAAATAACGCGCGCGCACGTGAGTTCGCGCGGGTCTCTTTTGAAACGACGAGAATCGAGTGGCAGTAGAGCCAAGGAACGTGTTCCCAGCGTTTCAATTTGCCCGGTTCGCGGGGATTAAAACCGTCGAATTCGAGAGCCGGGAACGGGACGTGGTCGCTGCGCCGCGCGCCGACTCGGGCACACGTATGCGTGCGGCATTAACTTTTTCGTTGCTCTCGCCGTCCAAGAGACGCAAAAATCCGTAAAGCCCGTATATACGGAAATCCATTCCAGCTATTCCGCGACGGTGACCGAGTTAATTTTCTTTTTCGGGCGGTATGCCGCTAACGAGCACTTTCTTACTCCGTCTTTCTGGGTTTCTATACCTGGTTTGTTCCCTCTGAATCTCTTTTCGTATTTCTCTTCTCGTGAGTCTCTATTCAGGTTTCTCCTTCTGTTTTGCCAGCCTTCCCCTAGATTTCTTCTAGCTTTATACCCCAGATTTTTCCACTTTTTTCTCGTTAGATCTAGTGCTAATCCTCTCGGTCCCTCTGTACGTTTCTCCTTCTGTTTTTGTTCACTTTAGTCTGATTCTTTAGATTCCGGTAGCATTCCCTTTTCTGAATCTAATCACATCTTTTTCCCTTTTCTTATGTTATTCTCTAAATATGTTTCTCCATCGTTCTCTACTCTAAGCTTCTCTTTATAGGTTCCTTTTTTTACTTCTCTATTGAATCTCTGCCCCAGTTTCTTTCCCATTTTTCTTCTCTCAAGTCTCCGCTAAGTATCTTTTTCTATTTCTCTTTGGCTAAGTATTTTTTTTATTTCTCTTACTAATTTTCTCTCTTAAAATTTCTCTCTTTCTGAGCATCTTACAATTACTGTCTCTACTTGTCTTCTGAGCTTCTTTCTATATCTCTTTCCCCATTTGTCCTCTCCCAAATCTCTTCCTAGCTTGCTTTACCTATTCCTCTGTCACTAGTCTCCTCTCCAAATTTCTCTTCCCATGTCTCTCCTCCTAAGCCTCTCCAAATTCCTTTCTCTACCTATCTTCTAAGCGTCCCTCCGTGTTTTCCTATTTCTTTTTTATTCCTCTTTCGCTAGGCGTCTTTCCAGATCTCCCCCGTTCTCCCGTTCACTCTCTACCGTTAATTATTTCCCAGAGGCTTATTCAGACGCAAAGACGGGATCACGCGGGGTCGGGAGGATATCACCGTGTCAAAGACAAGCACTCAAAGGACCTCGGGATCTCTCATATCCGCGGAGAACGAGGAACCGCCCGGTGCCAAGAGACAACGCAGAGAAATAGGTGATAGAGACGGAAAGTCCTGCTTCTCCCGGCTCGAGGACTCCGCGACTCGAAATTTATTGGAAACGTAAGAGCTCGAAGAAAATACAGAGAGACGCGATGCGACTCCCCTAAAACACGACCCTTCCGCGTTCGTCATCGTCCCGGCGAATGTCACGCCGCGGCGATAAAATATTTTCACAGGCGGAACACACGGCGCGGCAGACGGGGACGTGTCGCGGACACGTGGAAACACACGTCCGCTTGATTTTCTTTCGGATCTCCTAGCTGCCTTTAACCGGAAAACTGCGAGTCGCAGGTGGTCCGCCGCTACGGTGACTTTATTATCGTTTCTACTTGCCTCGAGTTCCGGTTTCGAGTCAGGTATTTAATTATCTGCGCAAATGTTTACTTTCATGTTGCTCGGAAGCAGGAGGTCCGGTGGATAACGTTGTTCATCGTTGTACAAGTTTGAATAAATGCTCGTGACATTGTGATTGTTGAGATAGAAGGATTGAAGAGGAAAGATTGAATTGAGATTTACTTAAATATTTGGAATATTATTGGATACATGGGGACATACGCGCGAGAATTTTTTTGTATTTTTCTAAAATTGGAAAGAATTCTCTGAAAGATGATAATGCGACTGAATTGGAAAAGGATTAAAAAGATGAGAGAACGGTTGATCAAATTAAGAAAGGCTACAAGAATCCAGAGTTTCGGGTAAATATTCAGTGTAGCGGTGTTCGCTGGTTTCGGTTGGAAGGACTATCGTTTATGGGTCGCGATGATTAATTTAATAGATGGATTTAATCGTAGGTTATTAAACACTGGCAACATTATAGGGAGACGTTAATGCGGGGCACCTGTTCGTAAATTTTCGTGGATTCGGCTCGGGCAATTATACAGCCGGAAGCTCGGATGGCGAAACGGGATTTCGGCGCGGCGCAGGATTATCGGTTATTCCGGACTATTGGATGATACCCTTAGAAATAGCCCAGTATAATTTTACATTCTGGAGTCGCTTACTGCAAATACTATGGCTGTTCGATAAACCGGATTCCCCTTCTCAGTCCATTTGTTTCGTTCGGTTTCCGGTAATTAAATTTCGCAAACGATTTCCCTTATATTTTTAACTCAAAGTTCTTAGATTTCTAATATGTATTGACAGATTTATATTATCTTGACATTTGTATCGTTCATTCTCCTATACTCGGGCTTTTAGTTACACAATTTCAAATTTTTAAGCTCTTCAATTCCCAAATTTCCCAAAGTCAGAAACACTTTAAGAGATTCTCATTAAAATTATACAATTCACAGTATCTATGATTGAATAATCTTGCTAATCTCAGATCCTCAGGAGACGAAATCAATTTTTCAGAATTTCCAGTTCCCAGTAACTCTCAGTGACCTGAGATCCCAGATCCTCGGCAACATTTGACTATCAGCGACTCTCAGCGGTCTTGGATCTTTGGCGAACCGATCATACTCACGCCTTCAGAAATTCTCACTTCCTTATCCGCCCATTCCCTCGAACCCTGTCTCAGTAATATCCACAAATCTTCCTAAATCTAAACACGAGCAGCATTGATCCACGAACATTCGATTCTCCAAAACTTCACAACCCGAACCGTACATTTCCGACGCGATTCCCAACGCAAGTATCTACAGTGATCCTTCCGCTCGCGATTCAATTCGATTAAGCACTTCCGTTTCCACGTTGTATCCGGCAAGCCGGCCGATTTCGTATTCGATGGCGCATCCCGGGCGAATTTCGATGGGGTTCCGCGGAATGAAAAAAAAAGAAAGAGGAAAATACGGGCAGGAACGCAGAAGAGATTTTCCCAATGGTTTCTTCCTTCTTGCTTCTTCTCCTTCGTTTTCTTCGTCTTCTTCCCTTTTTTTTCGCTTCTATCTTCCCCGGGGTGTGATTTGGCACGTTGCCAGACTCGATACCGCGACCGTTTCGAGGGCAACGGGAAAATAAGAGGAAAAATTCGGCGAGAAACGTTAAGAACGTGGCCGGACCGCGGCAGTCCGGGGTTTTCTTGAGGGAAACCGGGCCACGCGACGATCCCTTCTATCCTGCAGGTGCAATATTTCCGGAGCTCGCCGCTGTCCCTTCCATTTTTAATCCGCTAACGGTGTAATTACTTCTTGCCTCGAAACGAATGAGATCGCGCCACTCCTGCTCGCTCGTCTGCCGTCTTATTTGGTCCGCGAGACGTTTATGGTCGAACGTCTTTCGCAGCTTTGGAAATATTGCGGTGGAGCTACGGATGTATATTCGAATTTCTTTTTTGGAGTAGCTTTTCAAATGGGAAATTAATGTAATATTTCGAATTCAATTTGAACGTTTGAATTAATGAATCAAGCTTTTGAGCGATTGATTTCGATAAATATGAAGAAGAAAATTTAATTTCTGTTGAA